GCGGGGCGGAGGGCGCGGCGCCCCGGATCCACCCCAACGTCCGCCCGGAGGCCTAAAAGAGCACGAGCCACATGCGCACGGCTTTTCTTGCAGCTCATGCGTGTGTGTGTGTGTGTGTGTGTGTGTGTGTGTGTGCGTGAGTGCGTGTGCATGTGTGTGTGTGCGTCCTCTTAGAGCCCCGCGGCACGCGCGTTCACGGCGGTGACCCGGTCGGGGCGTGGCGGGGCGTGGCGTGGCGTGCCCAGGGCGTGCGGCAGGCCATGGTGGCGTGCGGGAACCCCTTCAAGGGAGCCCCTTCAAGGGACTGCAAGGGACAAGGACGGAGTGCTACACCATCGTTACACTCGCCCCGAACAAGGGGCTCCCACCCCCTCACCCTGCCCCGCCCACTGCGTCTTCCAAATCGGCGGACGGCCTACACTGATATTGCGTGACAAAATTGGTCCTCGGATGTTTCATATTTCCGCAGTGGAGTGGCTCAGCCGGTGCGCAAACAGCTTGTACCTCCACCAGAAAAAGCCTTCCGTCTTCTTTATCCGGTTCTATTGACGTGGACGGGCGGCGACCCTCGCTGCCCTGGGCTGCCCTTTACACGCCGCGAAGCTTGCTCGCTCGCATCGCCGTGGCTGCCGGACCCTCCAGGACCCACACTGTAGGAGGCTGGGTCGCCTGGCAACATACCGCCAAATGTAGCAAGGGGATGCGAGGCCCGGCACGGCAAGGCCGCCGTAAAGGTTAATGGACTGCCAAGTTGGTATTTTAGTATGGAGACGGGATTTACGAAGCGGACGTAAGTGGAAAGCCGGGTCCGGAGGGAAGACGCGCAAACGCTCCGCGGATTCAGTTATTCGTGAATCGGGGCGCCGCGGCGGGGTGGGAGCACTGGGGGTCGCGAGACGAAAATGAAGAATTCGGCGGAAATGGAGGCTGGCGGGCCAACTGACGAGGGGGAGAGGAGGGCGGAGTCATTAGCTAGCGCTAGGAAAGAGGAAAGTCGATGGAGTCGAGTCATTGGTCTAGTTGTCTAGTTTTGTGCGGCGCCGTCCGTGTTGCATGGGTGGACGCCCTCGCGGACGGACGGGCTTGGCATACGCGGGAAGTGACTGTGCCGCCTGGGTTACCTCAGCCCCGCCTCGCACAGCTCGCACAGCTTCGCACATGGCCGGGCCGCGGACCGGCGCGCCGAATTTAAAACGCGTATAAACCAGCCGCAGGAATGCACGGTGCGGCCCGGCACGGCAAAAGGCTTTTTTCGCGTCGGTCTGGCCGAAGCGTGAATCCTCTCCTTTCCTTTTTCTTTCTCCTCCCTCGTTCGGCACTTCTCTCTCGTGGTGTTTGCGCTGTCTCTTTCTCTCTCTCTCCCTCCCGAAAACGAAAACTAGACGAGTAAAACGGGCCGTAATGTAATTGAAAGCCCCGGTCGCATCGACCGCGTTTTTAAAAAACCTTTTTTTTCCGCGCGGGGAAAATTAGCGAGCATAAACCCCGCCAGATTTGGAGTCGCGATTTTTGTCCGACCCACCCGCAGCGCGGGGCGCATCGCCCCCGGCGAATGGGGCCGGGGGAGGCTTTGGCGCGCCTTGCCGGGGCACCCCAATGGGGCACCCTAAGGGCACCCCGCGGACGTACGCCTGCAAGACTCCGCGCCGCTCTGCCGCTCTGCGCGTGTCCCGAGCGCTTAGCTCCGGCTTCGGCAAGGATTTGGAGGGCAGGCGGGGCAGGGCCTTACGGGGCAGGGCCTTACGGGGCAGGGCCTCACGGGGCGGGGCGTCGGGGCCACGGGAAGGACACCCGACACACTCCACGTCCTGGATGGGCTTCCCCGCCCCGCTAGCCACGCCGACAGCCTGCCGCCCCCCGCCTTCCCTTCACACAACTCTCAGTCGCCTGCATCTGCCGCCTCCTATATACGTTCAAGGTGGGGAGAGGGGGGGCTCGGAGGCACACTGTAATCGGCTCCCCCTCCCCTCCGCTTTCTTCCTGGAAATCAAGGACATGGCGTTATATGAATCCGTGTGCCGGCTGCTTTGCGCGCGGCGTCTGCTATTTCTTTGCGTGAAGGCGTCGCCGGGCGTCGCGTCGTCCTCCCTTCTTTTTGCGGTGTCGCCGCGCGTGCTTGCTCTCGTTCCCTCAAGCCGGGCCGCCCGGCCGCCACGCTCGGAGGTCCTCGACGCTCTCATCACCCTGAAAGCGGAAAGGACGAAGGGCGCGTGACTAGCACGGCAGTGTTCACAAAAAAAAGTAATAACGACCGAAGATGTCATGCCAGAGGGCCGCCCTTAAACCGAAGGGTGCCGAAAACAGAACAGTGTAGCTGTGGAAGAAGGAAATATCGAATTTTGTAACGTCGCCGCTGTTTTTTGGCGCCAAGTAAGGCAGCGGGGCAGCCGGGGATCCACATCGCGCGGAGGGGATTCAAAGTTTTTGCGATAACGGGGGCCTGCCTGCTCGCCCCTCCCCCCACCCCTCCTCAAATACCCGCCCCCCACACCCCCTTTCCTCCTCCAGCTTCTTCCATAATTCATCTTCTCATCATGGGATTCCGTGAACGTTAACGCCGAGGGTGTGTTCCTGTTTCCCCGCATTGACCCGTGATCGCAGCTTTCAAATTTCAAATGAGGCATTTTTCTGACGGAATTGGAGAGTGTCCAGCCTGTGGCAAGGCGCTTCTTGAATGGAGGCAGCACTCGACTTGGTTGTGGCAACCCGTGTGCATTATGCACGCCCCGTGTTTTCGGGCTGCGCGGCCTGCCTTACCTGGGGCTTTCGAGCAAACAAGTCTGTAATGACTCCGCCAGGCTTTGCCAGGCTTTGCCAGGCTTTGCCAGGCTTTGCCAGGCTTAGCCACACGCACAAAGATACACACACTCGCGCGCCTGCGCGGCTTAATGCATTTTTGACCACGCCACTTCCCCAGCCTCCCTGGATCTTTTGATTGGTTAAGGCATGTGCAGTGGACAAATAGGGGTCTCTGAAAAGACAGCGGCTCGGTGGCGTAGCCAATCAAGAGCCTCGCCTTCGAGTCTCCCGCCAAAAAGCAGCCGCCTCATTGGCTGGAAGCGGGGCGCGGGGACGGTCGGCTTGCTGCTCCAGTTCCGGGCGGCGTTCCGGGCGGCGTCTTGAGCGGCGCCCCGGCAGGCTCGACCAGCTCCACGCCCTCCACGGCCTGCACCGCGCGGCGCCGCCCGTCGCCGAGCTGCACGGCCCACCCACACCCCACTCGGCGCCGCCACCCGCCGCCGCACCCTGATGGGCACCGGGGAGCGGGGCGGGGCGGAGGGCGTGTCCACGCTGACTTGAGTTTCCTTGCCAGGGTCGATTTCTCGCTGTTTTTCCGAGCAGGAAAACAACCGCGCGTGCTTGGCCACGCTCCGCGCCGTCCGTCCGCCGCGCGGTGACGTCATGCGGTTCCGCTGTGCTCGTAATTTTCGAGTTAACATGGGGCCTGGCCTGCTGGTTGGGCGTGGCCAAATCGAAAGCGTGAGTGTAAACACAGGTCTGGCTCGTTTCGTTTCTGCGTGCGGAGCGATGGGCCGACAGGCCAGACGGAGACAGACCGAAGAAGCGCGGGTGTGAAGAGACGCGAGCAGCCCCCAGCCAGCAACGCGCGGCACCCACACACACACACACGCAGCGAGCCCTAATCTCGGGTCAGGTTTAAATCCTCTTACCGCCAGTCAGTCCAGCCCGTCCAGCTGGCCGTCGTTCCGTCCGGCTCGCCGCGGCCCGGCCAATGTTTTATGAGGGATTACGCGGCGCGTTTGAGGACGCATGAAAAACCCGGTGCAGGTGTCTGCAACAAAGTGGGCGTGCGGTGCGCGGTTTTCGGCCAATTGTGAGATGTTCGCCTTCGTTCGTGTTTTAGCCGTCCGAGTGGCCGGATCGAGTATCGTCTAAATGAGGGAGAAAATCTATTTTCATTAATTTTTTGGACGGTGTGTCAAAAAGAGTGATGACTCGCGAGTCCAACAGCGGCCGCCTGACATTTCAGAGGCCTGGCCTCCCTCGTCGGGGGATTTCGGGCTGTGCAGGCCTGCGGCGATGGCTGCGGGGCCGCCGGGTCGAACTGCTCGCCGCCGCCAACAAGACCACCACGACCGGCGAGGCGCCACGGCGCCGCCGACGCCAGAGGTCTCGCCCAGGATATAAGAGGCGCGGAAAAAATGCTCATAAAAATGCATGAAAGCCTGCGGACTTTTGGTCGCTGGAATGCGGGAGGCGGCGTGCTGGAGGCGGCGTCTGGGGGCGGCGGGCTAGAGGACGTGACGTCACTGCAACAATTAGCAGTGGTGCCAAAAGCGCCCCAGTGCGAAGCAGTGCGAAGCAGTGCGAAGCGCGAAGCCGTGCTGGGGCGGCGCCGCGCGCTGTCGTTGTCGTGGCCAAGCTGGCCAAGCCGGCCAAGCCTGGCGGGCTGCCCAACGGTCTGCCAGCGCACCGCGCAGGGTTGCCTACACTGCCTACGCCCGGCCTGCCGTCGGAAACGGGCCGTCGCAGCGACGCCGTCAAAGTCGCCGTTAACCAGGAACTAGGCCAGTGGCTGGGGTTGGGTGTCTCGGGGAAGAAACGCGCCACGCCCTGTTGTAAACGTTTGTTTGCTCGGCCTGTTCCGCGTTCCGCGCTTGGCGTCGGGGAGGCCGTCGCCCGGTAGACGGCAGACGCCGTCCGCGGCCTCGTTGCCGTGCTCCCCGTCGACCTCTGTACCGCCAGCCTGTTCGCGGAGGGGCAGTGACGCCGGAGTACAGCCCGAGGGTCCCACGGCGAGACAGCGAGCCGCTCTGGACTGGCTGTCCGGGGTGATTCTGGTCACCCTATCTTGCCGTGTTTACCCTCCCCGGTCCCCGATTCGGCAGGATGGCGTCGTCACTCCGTCTCGCTCGCACTGTGGTGCGTCACGAGAGGGACGGAGCGCCGAAGGGGTCCTTCGGAGCAAGGCAGGAAGCGCGAGTCACGCCACCGAATTGTGTATTTGTTTTGCTCATGCTGTTGTTGCTTTGTTGCAGGGCCCCCCGGGGGCAGCGTCCGGGGGGACGAGGAGATGAGGCGGGGCGGGGGGCGGGGCGGCCGCAGGGACGACCCCCGGCGGCACACGCTGGGCGGCGACCAGCACCCCCACCCCCCGCAGGGCGGCACGCTGTCCAGGAGCATGGACCTCGAGGTGAGTACACCAGACGGCCCTCGCGTTTGCATCTCGTGTCCGGAAACGTTTTCATTGTGCGCGAAATGTCCCTTCGCCGGTCGCCAACCTCCCCAACCGGAAATCCCGTCCTCTGGGTCCCTGCTTCCGGTTGCTATCGCGCGGGCGCTGCGCTCCGAGCCTGGAGCGCCCGGCGGGGTAGCCTGCCCGCGGTGCAGCCGTGCGCGGCGGGCCTGCCTTAAGCACGGCGCCCCGCTCCGGAGAGTTCCTCGTCGGCCACCTATCTGGCCGCTCTCGAGCCGCGCGGTGGCGGTCTCGGAGCAGCACAAGCACAGCACGCAGCCACGACTCTTGACCTTCGCCTCCCCCAGCACGCGGCACGCTGCAGAGCGCCAGCGGCGCCAGCAGCGCCCCCGGCAGGCCTATTCCTAGCGCGCCTTGGAGTTCCTTTGATGCTGCGCGCTGCGGGTGGACCCTGCAGGCCGATTCCGCGCAGTGCCCTCGTCGCTCTGTCTCTCTCACTCTCCCTTGGCGGCCCCGAGGGGTGCGAGAGAGACAAAGCGACAAGCACAGCTCGTAAGGCTGGAATGGTGGAGGCAACGCTATCGGTTCGTTTCGTTTGACGCGCCGCACTGCGACGTTCGGCGTGTTGAGGGAAGCGTGCCTTCCGCCTTGTGCCTTCCGCGAGGCGGCACACTGTGACACTGTGACACTCGCAGCGTCGCGAGGAATAGTCTCCGCGTGCCACTCTGGTTGCCACTCTGCTAGTTCCTCCCGACGGCCGCGCGTCGCGCATACATTCGCCTGTTTTCTCTCTCAAATTGGTTTCGGCCCGACCCGACCCGACGCGATCCACTTCCCGGAATGCCCCGGCAATGCGACTCTCCGGACGACGGCGACGCGCCGGAACGCCGAGGCCCCCGCGGCCCCACAGCCCCGCCGCCCCGGGACAGCAAAGAAGGGGGCCCCTTGGGGGGAGGGGGCGTCGAGTCGGGGCGCCGCGGATCTGAAGGAAGCGCAGACCGACGAGCAGTGCGGCGCGGCGTAGCATGGCGTAGCATGGCGGAGGGGGAGGCTTTTAGTGGAAGCGCCCGCTATGGCATTTGGGCATTTGGTCGCTAGACGCACTTTCCCAGAGGCCCCCTCGCGCTAACCACACACCCCCTGCCCCCCACGCGCGGGCCACGGGGGTGCTGGTGCCGGGGTGTGCCAGGTTTATGACTGCGTTTTGCATAAGGACGTGTACCGCGGTAGTGCGTAGGGCCGCGTGGTGCGTGCCACCCCCACCCCCTGCTCCCCCACCCCCGCCCCCGGCCCTCTGCTCACGCTGTTTCTGTCTCTTATTCCGACCTACGCGTTTGATATAGCGCCAGTGCGAAAGCAAACAATTTCACTTTTCCCTCCCCCCATTTTTTTTCGGTGTGTGTGTGTGTGTGTGTGTGTGTGTGCGTGTGTGTGTGCGCGTGTTATTGTTCTCTGTGAGCCAGTGGGTGAACGCGCGCAACACGCAGGGACTACATATCACGGCGCCGTGCTCTCTGCTTTCGGAGAGCGGCGAGCGGGGAGCGCGCGGGCCTCCCCCCTCCCCCATCCACCACCAGAGGCTCTCATCCTCCACGGTCCGGGCCGGGCCTGCCGGGCCGCCAAATTGGGCCCGTTTTGTTGCTTCCTCTGGACTAGTCGACGACTGCGGACGGATGATGATGGTTTCGCGTGGCCGGAGCAGTCGGCCGCTCTGCCGCTCCGCCGCTCGACGCACGCAGCACAATTGTAGCCAATTTGCAGTGGACGGGCATCCTTTTCTCTCTGTGTGTCTCGCGCTCTCCCCCTCCCATCTTTATCCCTTTACTCCGCCGCGGGGGAGGACCAGGACCAGGGTGGACCTTCCTGAGGGCACACCACTGTACTCGCAGGCAGGAGAAAGCGGCGGCCCACTTTGGGCTCGAGTTTCATTGGTCGCGCACCGTGAGTGTGTGTGTGTCTGTGTGTGAGTGAGAGCGAGTGGCGAATTGCCGATGAAAGCCATGGTGCACGGAGGGGAGAGGGTGGTGCTGGAAAGTGTCAACCCGAGGGGACAAAAAAAAATGCAGTGGCTTCGTGACTTGGTCCCGGCCGCTCCAACTGCCGTGACAACTAGTTTGCATAATGATGCGTATTAATTTGGGAAATTCTGCGGCCGGAAAGTTGAGAGTGCTGTTGCCTGCCTGCCTGGCTGGCTGCCTGCCTGGCTGCCTGGCGGCCCCGCGGGTGTGATGCCGCCCTGTCTGTGCCACTGCGCTGCGTCAGTGTGTCCCGCTGCGCTGCTACCACAACTTTGAACACCCCTCCTCCTTTCTCTCACACTCTCCTTCTCTCTCCTTCCCTCTCTCCCAGGCCGCCTTTTCTCTAATCCTGTTGGCCAGTTTGCGTCAAGGTTCTGTACGAGGAAGGGGATGTAAGGTTAGTTTAGTCCCAGCGTGGCGGGGTGCGGTGGGGCGGGGCGGGGCGTGTGGCGTCTGCTGAGCTCAGCTTACACCCTCAGACCGCCCCGAGTTGGGGGGGGGGAGTTCAGCGAAGGGTCCGGCGAGTAAGTAAAAAGAGTTGGGGACCGCCAGCAGACCGCAGGCATGCGACCCCGATCCATTTCACAATGATTCCTTCGGACGATGCAAACACGAGGTCGGCCACGGACTTCTAAACTGCCATAGCTTCATTTCAACTGATCAACATTAACGTTCTGTTCGATGCTGTGTTTTGTGTGATTAACGTTTGCTCGACTAATCCCTTCTTCTCTGTTCTGTCCGCCTTCCCGCAGATGAGTGCCAAGCAGCGGAAAAAGGTGAGTGGCCCCATTTCGCTTTTCGGAATGCATAATGATATTGTTGCGCTGTTGTGGTTGGCGTCGGCGCGGCGCGGCGCGGCTCGGCTGTGCAAAGCGCTTCATTCGGCGCGTGAAATGAGAAGGGCTTGCGCCTCGGCAGCCTCGGCTTGCATTTGCATACCAAATTGGGCTTCCTGTTGAATGCTGCCGCTTGGCCTGCCTCTGTCTCCGCTCCGCCTGCGCCTCGTCCTGTTCGATAAATCGATTTCTCGATTGGAAAAGCATGATCGAGCCGTTGGACCGACCAGCCAACCACGGGGCACGACCCGAGCCCCCCGAGCAGCGCCCTGCTAACGCAGCCTGTTGTCTCTCTCTGCCCCGCAGTCGCCCATGGCCCGCGGCTACCCGCCGCCCTCCAACGCCATGCTGTTCGACGACGACCCCGGCATCATGTCCGAGGTGGAGACCGCCTCCACCGGCTTCCACCGCGGCGGCAAGCAGCGCTCCTCGCTGCCAGTGGTGCGGACGCCGAGCAAGACCTTGGAGCGGCCCCTGGGTGAGTCTCGCGGCGCCGCAGTGGAGTGGAGTGCGCCTGGGAGGTGGGCAGCCCAACGCGCAGCCTGCGCCTGGAGGCCTGGAGCGGTGAGGCGGGGTGCGCCTGGAGGGCGGCAACCCAACGGGCACAGCCAGCCCTGCCACCGTCACCGCACCACCGCACGCGGAAGCCTTAACCCCTTCCCACAGGGCAAGCAGCCCCTGCCCCAGACAGTGTATCTGGCGATGAACTCGGGCGCTGCTGTTGTCGCGGCCTGGCCTGTCGCCCTGTTATTGGGTGTCTACGGCCTCGCCGCTTCGCCGCGGCGCTGCGCGCGGTCAAGCGGCCGATATCGGCTTGCCGGGCCGGGCCCGCCGGCCTGGACGTGCGTTGCCGCGTCGGCGCCGCCGCCCCGCCGCCCCAATCGATAGATGATGGATGGATACGAATGAAAATTGAAAAGCAAAAATATTTGTGTACCGGAGGCGCGTGGTGAACGGTGGACGCCATGCAGTCCCCCCGTCGGGCCGGCCGGCCGGCGCCGCAATCAAAAATAGACGACGCCGCCACCGCGCGGCGGGCGTCCTGTTCGGCGGCATTCATTGAGGAGCCGCGCGCCGTGCTGCAAGTTTAACAGCGTCGCGTGCGCCGCGGTCAGCCGCGCGGCGTGTCCTCGCGTGCCGTGTCCTCGTCGCACCGCCGGACGACCGCAGCGCCCCGCTCCCCGTGGCACGACACCGTCGGCCCTCGTTGATGACAGGGCGACCCGACGCGACAAAGAATCACGCCCCGGATTTATTACCGCGGCCGATTAAACTCTTGCCGCCCCGACCCCCGTGAAGTGGGAGGGGGCTGACAGTGTGGGCGCGGCGCGTGCGGTTTCCCGTAGTTTCCCGCGCGTCCGTCAATCTCGCGGGGAGTAAACAAAGTTCCGCTTTCGACAAGGACATGCGGCGGGGCGTTCATTTGTTACGCCAAGGCTGCGGGGAGCCCTGCCGCGAGCGTGTCGGCCGCGGGGAGGTTGGGGTTAGGGTTGGCGGAACCATGGCGGAACGCCGCCCGAGAAAGATTGCCCCTAACAGAGCCTAATCTTCGGCTCATGCCGGTTTGAAAAATTGACTTTAACAACCCTCGTTCCAGGATTAGTGTTCCTCCAGTACCGAAGTGAGACGAAGCGCGCGCTGCTCCCCAACGAGATCACCTCCCTGGACACCGTGAAGGCGCTCTTCGTGCGCTCCTTCTGCAAGCAGCTCACCATGGAGTACCTGGACTCGCCGCTCGTCAAGATCTACATCCACGACTCCAACAAGGACATGTTCTACGAGCTGGAGGACCACCGGTAAGCGTCCCCTCACTGGGGTTGGAAGGGGGAGCGTGGCAGGTTCGTGACGGTGCTGCCTTGCTCGTTGCAGATCGCACCTGCGAGACATCCGCGACCGGTCCGTGCTGCGCCTCTTCGAGTCGACCGACGTGCACAGCGGGGTGTTCCCGGGCGCGGGCACGGGGCTGGCGCCGCCCCCCATGTGGGAGGCGGACCAGTCCTACTTCAGCGAGCCCGAGTTCGACTCCGAGTACCAGCACCAGCACATCCACAAGTCCAAGGTACGAATCCCAACTGACACATTTTTTTTTCGACGCCCTGGCGTTTGGCGGGGTTCGGTACGGTTGCCGGGCTGGCCCAGAACGGGGCGGGACGCAGGACGGGGACTCTGCTGGAACGGGTCCAACTCGACCGTCCCGTCGCGAGCCTGCTTTTGCTATTATCGCAATGGCCGGCCGACACTGCAGGGCGGGGCGGGGCGCGCTGGGTCTGCCTGGCAAAGATAACACACGGCCTGGCCAGTCCAGCCGCGCTCACGGAAAAAAATCCCTTAGTTGTGACAGCTAATGCATTGGCTGATATGGGGCCAGCCAAGAATCAGCAGTCGTGGTAACTAAAAATATTGCTAGCAGCATCAGCAATCATGCCTGGTCGCGACAGCCAACCACATTTGTTGTGCTAGCTAATCCCTCAGTTACAAACGCTAATAAACTTTTTACTCTCCGAAAAATACTGAGACGGGAATAGAACCCGGGACTACTGGCTGAGAACCGTGCTCGGAGGCACTGAGCCACGGAAGCACATGTGTGTGCGTATCCTGCCCCAAGTCACTCCGGGTACTGGATCGCCGGCCGTAAGAACACAAGTACTTCAACAAGGACATGTTACGAGCTGGACACGTAAGGTCTCCTTTGGAAGGGGAGCGTGGCAGGTTCGTGACGGTGCTGCCTTGCTCGTTGCAGATCGCACCTGCAGACATCCGCGACGGTCGTGCTGGCCTCTTCGAGTCGACCGACGTGCACAGCGGGGGTTCCGGGCGCGCACGGGGCTGGCGCCGCCCCCCATGTGGGAGGCGGACCAGTCCTACTTCAGCGAGCACGAGTTCGATCCGAGTACCAGCACCAGCACATCACAAGTCCAAGGTACGAATCCCAACTGACACATTTTTTTCGAGCCCTGGCTTGGCGGGGTTCGGTACGGTTGCGGGCTGGCCAGACGGGGCGGGACGCAGGACGGGGACTCTGCTGGAACGGGTCCAACTCGACGTCCCGTCGCGAGCCTGCTTTTGCTATTATCGCAATGGCCGCCGACACTGCAGGGGCTAGGGCGGCGCTGGTATGCCTGGCAAAGATAACACACGGCCCGGCCAGTCCAGCCGCGCTGGGGCGCGAATACGAACGCGCGAATACTGGGCGCCGCCACGCCGCCACGGAGGGCGTGTTGCTGCAGAGACTCGCATGCGGTCCCGCCTCGTGGCCGTTGCACAGTGCACACGTCAGCGACGACCAGAACGCCGTCGCCAAGTTCGTATCGGCGCAGTCACTGTCAGGAAAAGGGATTGTGTGTGTTTTTCGGCCGCCTCGTTCGCCGGCTGGATGTTAGCTTTAAATTCGCAAAGTTTCCTCCCCTCCTTCCGGCCGCCAGACGCCAGCTCGCGCCAGCACGCCGAGGGCTTGTTTTGTTTGGACGCTGACCCTCTGACGCTGAGTGATGTAATCCCGCCGAGCTCGATACTTTGGCGGAGTCAATGCTGGAACTTTGGGCCCGTCGACCCGGCGGCGCGAGTCATCGTGAACGTTTTGAAATGGAGCAGCGAAGTGGCGCGCTCCTTTGACCGGCAGGTCTCTTTGTCTAATTGTTTCAGTTCTTGCTACTTTGCCCGCGAGTGAAATACGATTTACCTTCTGCTCGCTCTTTTTCTTTTTCGCGGAAACTTCCCAGCTTTGTGATTCTCTGTCTGCCCTCGCGGTCCATTTGCCGCGCGCTCTGCGACCCGATGGCCGCGCACTGCGCCTCGGCCGGCCAATGGCAGCGCCGCGTTTTGGCGGGAAACTCTGATCGGGCTCGCGATTGGCCGCCGCAAGGTTCGCGACCTCGTCGCCGCCTTGTGGGTTTCTAGTGTGTTGCGGGCCGCGAAGCGGGCGAAACGGGCGCACCGACACACGAAGATGAGGTTTGCGAACGGCAGTCGTGACCGGAATGCCTGAAGAGGCCTGGGAGGCGCGGGGCACGTCCAACGCCGGGCAGGCAGGCAGCCGGGCAGCCAGGCAGGCAGGCAGCCAGGCAGGCAACCCAGCGCCCGCCGCCCGGACAAACGGCAGCCAGCCAGCCGCTGGCCCACTAGGAGGACGCCTCCGACACCCGTTCCACCTCGACCGCCCCCAATTGTGACTAATGTGTCGGGAGTGCTCCTCCTCTGTCTCTCTCTTACTCTTCTGTTTGGGTAGTGCTGCCCATACTTTATCCTTTTCTCGGGACTCTGCTCGCAGTTCCTGGATGCGGCGGGTGGTCGCAGCACTGTGATTAGATTGTCTGTACGACTTGCAAAGTTGTTTGCCATGTTGGCAGTCTCAGGTCCTTTTGGTACCGAGAATTCGGGAATTAAAACGCCTTTGTACAAAAAATACGCCCCCTGCTCTTTTATTATTATTATTATGTTTTTCTTTTTACATACAAAAAAATAATCTCAACACATACATACACTCGATCGTACACGGTATACTACTAAACGAAGTGGATACACGATGGTACGTTTCAATATATAATATAATAAAAACAATAAAAAACACTCTTAAGGCGCTTTAACATCAAAGGGCTGGCAGCGACTACTGCTGGTTTCGTCGCCGCCATTTAAACAGTAAACTGTACAACATGCATTTAAATTAAGTTACATCACAAAGTGGAGTTGGTTGTCTCCTGAGTTGGCAGTCCGTGGCGTGGCGTGCCGTGCCGCGCGCCTCGCGGCGGAGTGAAGGGGCACGGCACGGCACGGCACGGCACGGCAGATACAGAGTGGGGAAAGGGAAAACACCCCACGCCACGCCGCCGCGTCGCCGCCGCCACTGATTTCGGGCGATTCGTCTTCCTCGCGGCAAGACGGCGGCACATTTCCTGTCGGCAGCGACGTGCACCCCGTTCCTACACTGCATCGAACGTGTCCCTCACGCACACACACACACTCAGTCACGCGCATACATACACATACACACACATTCACACGCGTTTACTACATTTTGAGCAGAAGTGGGGTCGTCGCGGTTCGTGTCTGTCCTATGGCGCGTTCACACACTGGTACATTAGTGGGCTGGTCGTCGCGGTGGATACTCCAAGCCGATGGCGGGGTGGGGTTTGCGTCGAGGCGTCGTTGGGGTGGTAACAATACAAGATTAGTTCTTTGGCTAACTTCGATCGTCGTCGTCTTCCGCGGCTCGCGGCGCGGCTCGCCTTCCCTCGAAATGGGCGCGCCACGTTTGTTTGGCCTTTGGTCGGCCCGTAGGCCGCGGGGCCGAGTCCAGCGATGCGCCAGCGATGCGCCCGACAGTCCAGACGGCCCTGTTTACAGTGTTGCTAATTCGGGACGGGGGCGGCGCTGCTTCTCGCCTCGCTCGCCCCGCTCTTCCGCGAAGCCAAGCAAGCCAGCCGTAAAGGCGGAAGGAGGTCGGCCAGGTCGAGTGGCCCACTGTTTGGCGTCCGGCGTGCAGCAGGCCGCCGTGCCCGGCCGTGCCGTCATCGAGGCCATCTCGGCGCCGGCCCTTCCGCGAGCGGCCCTGGTCCTCCCCGTCGGGACGGCTCCCCGATACGGATAGCATCGACCGGGAGGTCTCACGACGCATTGTGTCCGTGCGCGTCGCAGCTCCGCGGTGCTTGGCGGCGCTTCCTGGCTGTCGGCGGCGGCCTCATCCTAGCCGGGAGGCAAGACGGCGCTCCGGGACCGCCCAGGACGTCCTGGCACCTCAGAACTTGCGGCAGACGGGCTTGGCCGGCACGTAGTGCACGCCGGAGTAGAGCTTCTTGGGGGTGCCCTGCCACGAGATGACGTTCACCTTGGCGAAGGGGTCCGGCGCGCAGCCCGAGCACATGGCCATGACGGCCATCACCTCGCCCTCGGCGGGTTCGTTCTCGCGCTTGAGCGGCTTGGGCGGCGGTCCCGGGGGCCCGGCCTGCGCCACCGCCTGCGGCATCTTGCTGGGCTGCGGCAGCGACAGCAGCTGCTGGTGGTTGTTGCCGTGGAACTCGACGTAGGCGAGCGGGCCGGGCGTGGCGCCGCCCGCGCCCAGGAACTCGCCGTGCGGCAGCAGCCCGCTCAGGCCCTGGCTCAGCAGGCTGGTGTCGATGTCGCCGCCCAGGTCGATGGGGCCGCCGTGCAGCGAGATGGTCTGCCTCTTCTTCTTGGTGTCGCTCACCACCTCGTCGTCGGTCTCGCGCTTGGTCTGCGACGACGGCTTGATGTCGACGGCCTCGTCGGCGGGCTGGGGCGCGGTGGCGGACGTCGGCTTGGCGGCGCTCTTGAGCAGGCGCTTGCTCTCGCGCTTGGCGTGCTTGCCGGACAGTCGCTGGGGCTCCACCTCGGCCGCCAGGACCTCGGCCTGCTTGGCCTCGTCGTCATCCGCGCGGGCAGCCGGATCAGCGGAGCGCTTCACCTTGGTGGCGACGGTGGGCTCGGGCTTCTTGTCCTCAGCCTCCACGACGGCGTCCTTGTCGTCGGTGGCGGCCGCGGTGTCGCGCTTCTCCTGCTTCTTGGCGGGGTCGTCGGGCTGGTCCGCGCCCTTGACGGTGTCGTCGCGCTTGAACAGGTAGTGCTGCTGGGGGTCCAGGTCGAGCGCGGGCCGCGAGTGCGTGAGCAGGGGGATGCGCACGGACGCGCCGCCGGCCGTGGGGGACATGTGCAGGTAGGACACGGCGGGGCCCACGGAGGGCGACATGCCCACGGGGGACATGCCGATGGCGCCGAGGCTGCTGAGCCCGCCGCCGAGGCCGCCGCCGAGCAGCTGGCTGAGGTCCAGCATGGCGCCGGCCGTGGGCGCGGCGGACGGCGAGGCCTGCGCGTTGGAGGCCTGCGCGTCCTCCATACCGGGCGGCATGGGGATGTTCTTGCGGAACGCGGACAGCTCGAAGATGGGCAGCTGCGGCGTGAGCTGGCCGTTGGTGATGAAGGGCGCGTACGGGTTGACGGGCGTCGTTTCTGCAGACAGACAGAGAGAGTGTGTTAGGACTGGACCGCGGGAAAAACATTCCATGGAGGCTGCCGACTGCCGACGGAGGTCGATAAACACGCGTGCGCCGCAGGTGCGAAGCGCGAGGCGCCAAGCAGTGCAGAAGCAGCCCCCCGAGGCGCAGTTTTGACGCCGCATTCCGCCGGATTAGGAATTTTCATTTCGGCCGCCGCCAGCGTGGCGGGGCGAGGCAGGGCGCGCCGCATCGCCGCGTAATCGAGTTGTTTGCCCGAAAGCCGCAATCCGGGCGGCCAAGGGGGCGGCCACGGGGGCGGCGGGGCTCCGTGGCGCCAACACCCTGCAGCCGGCGCAGCGCGCGGCCCGAATCGCCGCCCAGATAAAGGAAGACGTCGGCCTGGTGGGGAAGGGGGAGGCGAAGGGCGAAGGGCGGCCTCGCCCGAGACACTGATATTCCCCCCGCCGCGTCGCCTAGGCCAATTGAGACGGAACCGTAAATTTTTCATCCCGTGGCGTGGCGGGGCGGCGGGCGGGGGGAGGCCACCAGCACAGCGAGGCTCTACATCAAGCGGGGCCGGCCGGGTCCGCGGAATAATACAAATTAATTCCGCTCACGTCCGCGCGCCGTGCCGCGCCGTGCCGCGCCGTGCCCGACTTGGCCCAGCCCGGCGGCCGGCCCGCGGCCCGGCACTCTCTCTTCTTCGTCCCACCCCTCGGAGGTGAGCGCCGCGCCGCACCGCGCCGAGGACCGTCGTGTCTCTGGAAGGCAGTGAGTGGGCCGGCGGGGTTGTTAGCGCTCCGGAACTGCGAGGCAGCGAGGCTGCGCCATGTCCTCGCCGTAACGACGGGACGCCGGGACGCCGGGACGACGCCGCGGTGACGTGATACCGTTACCCAATCGTTGTAATGCGGGGTATCGCCGGGGGGTGGCGCCTCGACGCCTCGGCGCCGCACGTTCGAAACGAAGGCGCGTAAAATTGGGTAGGGGTTGCCCAGGGGAGCGAGGACGGCGTCGTTAACGGCCTCCAACTCGTCCAAGTTGCCGGACGGACGGCCTTGCCCGGGGAGTCTGTTCGCGTTCCGAGAGGAATGCAGGGAAACGCCATGGGTGTCCGTCCCTGCTGCCCAGCATTGCAGTGTGGCGGAGTAACGGCGGACCAAAGGACTGGTGTTGGGAGGTCGTCAAAGCCGGGGCGCTGTGGCGTGGTGCTGTTGCGGCGACTGTGAGCATGCCACACGGCAGTCACGCCGGCTGCCGGTTGCGGGGTCGGTTGTTCCCCGCCGGCTCTAAAATGGCTCAATTTGCGGCGCCGTGGAGCTGATTTCCTGCGAGGGTCCGCCCGAGTCGTCCCAGCAACTTACACGGTCTGGCCGAAGGCTGAATAGTCACAGCAATCGCAAGGGTGGAATGATAGTGCGCGGCCACGGCGTTGCGTGGCGGACTCACCTGGCATGGGCGCGGGCGTGGTGGTGGTGGTCCTCTGCGCCTGGCCGGGCTCGCCGGCGTAGTTGCCGTGGTGGTGCTTGTGGTCGCGGTACGCCTTGCCGGCCGTCAGCGCCACGGTGTACATCTGCAGCTGCGTGATCTCCCCAAGCATGCCGCCGGCCCCCTTGGGCGCGCCCTCGCCCTCCAGGAAGCCGCCGCCGTACTGCCGCTGCTCCTGGCCCGTGATGGCCACGCCGCCGCCCTTGATGACGTGGTTCACGAGCTGGAAGAGAGTCGCGCGTCAGACCGCGGTTCGAAAACCCATCGCCGCATCTTTTTGTTCCCGCTGCTGACACTCACCAGGTTGTGGAAGCCCCTGCCGACGCGCTCCGCGTTGACCCACACCTGCCACTCGCCCGTCCGCCCGTTCCAGGACTGGCACGAGTGGTACCAGCGGTTCAGGCGCAGCGGGTAGTTGAGGCGGAACAGCGTGTGGCCGTCCACCGACATGGAGAAGTACGTGGACCTGTCCGTGGCCGACACCCAGGAGAGGATGGCCCGCGGGGTGTCGTGGACTGGAAACAAGCACCGTGTCGTCAGCAAGCGTGCCACACACAGCTTCAACGTCCGCAGACGGGGCTACTCACTGGCGTAGGAGAACAGGGGGTGGTCACTGGAGTGGTTGTAGAACTTGTGCCACATGCAGAGCGTGAACTCCTTGAGGTCCGGCATGTGCACCTTGTACTGGATGTACTGGAAGTAGAGGTCCTGCGTCATGGCGGCCTTGTACAGCGAGCAGGTGTCGCCGTGGTCGCCGGCGGGGTGCTGGGGCCCGAGGCTCGTCCCGAGGAAGTCCTTGGGGAAGTCGGGCGAGGGCCCGATGGAGGGCAGCGGGGACGGCGCGGCGTGGTGCTTGCTGGGCCTCGGCCTGAACACGTGGCTATGGCCCACCACGTGGTCCACGTGGCTGTGGTAGCTGCTGGCGCCCAGGCTGGAGCTGAGGCTGGACAAGCTGGCCGCCAGCGAGCCGGGCAGGCCGGGCTCCACGGCCAGGGCGTGCCTGCCGCCATGCGACGACGACCCCGACGACCCGGGGACGCCCTCCGGGATGATGGGGGTCCAGCCGTCGGACGCGGCGCTGGCGGTCTGCAGCACCACCAGCAGCGCCAGCGCGGCGAGCTCCTGCGGGAACACAACACGTTGTGAGTCCGTCAGCGGTGGATCGGCCAGGCCAATGCACACGCGGTGCGGACATGTTTTGCCGATGGCTGATTTGCTGCGGCTGTTATGACTGTGCCCCAGGCGGCGCTACACTGGAAGGGGGGACAGAAAGCTGGCGGTCCTGGTAGTCGTACTAGTTGCAGTGGTAGCGGCGGTACGAGGCGGCACGGCGTCGCTCCGCCGCGCCATGCCAGGCCACGCCATGCCAGTGCATGGCCGCGCGGCGAACGGCTCCTGCATATTTCATGCCGCGCCAGGATCCGGAATCCCCCCGCCGCTCCGCCCGCCCCGGAGGCCCTGAGGTCGGAGGGTGGGTGGTCGCGGCCAGAGCGCCAGCGCCGCGGGTACAAGGCGTCCTTTGTGCCGAAGCGCGCACTACTTTGACGGAAGGTTTTCGCCAGTTTGCTCACCCCGCCCCGCCCCGCCCCGCACGCTACTTCGCCTTGTTCGCCGTGCTCCCCGCTCCGCGCGGTCGGTGGTGTAGGAGTCGCTGCCCTCGTCCGGCTCGGTCCTCCGCTCCGCGTGTGCGGACTCTCTGTTTGGCCAGTCCGATTCACAGCCCGACTGCGGACTCGAGACTGCAGGCCGATTGGTTCGTTGGGTTCCGTCCGGGTCGGGCGTCTAGACACTGCCCGTCTGGCTACGGCCGGGATCACCTCACCCGCCGTGCCAGGCAGCCAGGCAGCCTCACCCCACGGGACCTGCTCGCCCAAACTCATCGCCTGCTCCCGGAACATAATGGCTCCCTTAACAACGTCCGCCCGCCGCTCCTCCCCGCCCCGCTGCCGTTGCTGCCCTCGGCTTGGAGATTACCGACGGCGTACCCCAATCGTCTTGATATGACACTATCGGAGATTGGGGCGGACAGGGCCAGGGGGCGGGGGGAGGGAGGGGACGTCGTTCAAACAAACTCACTGAGAAGCAAGCCGCGGTACAGCGCTGTGAACCGACCGGCGCGTCGTTCCGAGTTCCAGCCAGTGCCGCGGGCTCGGCGTGCCGTGCCGTGGCGGTCGGGGTGTGATGAGACGGCCGACGTGCGAGTGCGAAGGGCTCACGGTGTAGTAATGCAGTCGTTATGCAGGGTGTTATTGTCACGCATTTGCATGTGATGTAAGCTCTGGCGTGTACGTCATCTCGATCCCTCTCTCTTCTTCTCCTTCTTCTTCCCCGAGGCCCAGCGTGCTGCAGCACGGCCCCGGCCGCCAACTAACTGGAACATCTGTTCCTGGCAAAGCTCGGCCAGGCCCTGTCCTCTGCGCCCCGTCGCTAGCCTCGTCGCAGGTTGGCCGGCCCTTTGAGCGAGGGGCGTGGTCGGGTGGCCTGCCGGTGGGCCAGACGGATAGCCTCTCGCCGGGCCGCGCCCGACCTCACCGCCCTTGCTTTAGTACCGCGCACCCCCTTGTTTTACTACCACGTAACGCCGTGACGTAACACGCCGCCAAAACGGCGGGCAGACGGGTCGCGGCGGTCCAGCCCGGCTGTGCGGCCGGCCGGCGGGTGATCCTGTCGGGATAACTGCCCGGCTGGCCGGCCGGCCGCACAGCCGCAGCCGGCCGGGGATCCACTGTCCCTTTGTGGCCGCCTTTCGGCCTTTCGCGCTGCTGGTCCACGCTGGGCCGAGCTCGCCCAGTGGAGTGGAGTGGAGTGAGTCTGCAAGTTTGGATCGCGCAATCTGCGTGGCCGCTCATCGGTCGGCCCTTTCGGCGTCAATTTCATTTTATACCCATCCATCACGGCACCGGAGATCGGAGGCACTTTGCGCGGCTTTGCGGCGCCCGGTGACTGGAGAGACTGGAGAGACTGGAGAGACTGGAGACCGCCCCGGCGGCCTGGAGGAAGGAGGCCGGAGGCCGGGCCAAAGCGCGCCGCTTTTGTCGCAGGCCGGGGACCTCGATAGATCAACGCCCGCGACCCCGCCCGGCCTTTCACAGTGGAGGAGCCGGGGCGGCGACTGCGGGGACGAGGGGCGGAGCGCCTGGGCCCGAAATGGCATACGATCATGTGTGGTCTAGCCCTTAATGGTAATGGTAATGGCGGGTAGGCCGGCCCGCAAGTCTCCTCAGCTCGACGGGACTGCCTACGCGCCAGGCGCCGTGGCCCTGCCATCGCCGACGGCGTGGTCGTTGCCTTCTTCAACTGTTCGGCCTTGTTGACCGCGCTGTGCGCCCACCACAAACCCCTAAGGGCCCGCCCCGCCCACGCCACCGCTGCCCTTTGGCGCCTTGTTCGCCGACCGCGGCGCGCTCGATCCGACCAAAGTCGTAAACTGGCGGTCATTATTTCGCTGCCGTTTTTCGCCATCTCAAAACCGCAGCCACTTGCCTGCATTACGGTGGCGTGGCGGCATTGGCGTTGTTGTTGGCTGAATTTACGACGCGCCGCGCACCGATTTGCGAGCGGCCCTGGCAGCCCTGTCGCGGTGCGAAAGTGATTTCGGACCGGCACACGTGCGCGGTGCGGCCAGCCACGCCTCGCCGAGCCCAGCTGAGTGATTCTCCAACCTTAGGGGCCATGGAAAAATATTTCGAGAACCGCCACCGGCCGAGCCCAGCCTAACCTAACCCGCCTGAGGACGGCGGCCGACCCGCCCCCGGACCGGACGCAACGCACGCCACCGCAGCGCTGCGTCGTCCGGACGGACTTCCTCCACGGACTTCCGCTGCACTGCACTGCAGCTGGTCGCTGACGAGGAGTGCGGAGCCGCGCCCGAGCCTCTTTTGCTACTCGTCCACGACGGCGACCATACGCAGGCAGGCAAAGTCGGGCACACTGGAAAGGTCCCCGGCCGCGTTGGGCAATGGGCGGTGGTCATCGATGGCTTTTCCTTTCCCTTCGGACCGCCACTGCGAATAATCCGCGTCGCCCACCGGCACCGCAGCCTGCCGCCTGCTGCCGCCTCACGGCCCGCGTTCCCACGGCGAGGCGCTCGGTTGCGCGTGAGTAGAAAACGGCTCCTTTCGAGATCTGGGCGATGCGCTGCGGACCGGGCCGGGCCGGGCCGGGACTCGGAGCGGGCTCCCTGCCAACGCGGGAATCACTGCGCTATGAGGGAACAAGCCGCGTTATGCAAAAGGTGGACGAAAAGCACGCCATTTTAATCTCTTTCGCCTTCCCTCCCCGCCTTTTTCGCGTCATCGCCCGCCACGCACGAGTAGGAACCACCCGAATTGGGGAACTGGATCGCCTGCCCTGCCTGCCCTGCCTGCCCAGCGCTCCGGCGAGGCGGCCGACGGTCGCTCTTCCTACACGTAGGGGGGCTGGCCGTCACGGCGTCTCGCAACGCCCGAGCCCTGCCGCCTGCCGCGCCGCGAACGGCCGGGAAACGCACTCGGAGTCGCCGCGGGTACTCCTCGTGTCAGCGTGGAGTAGCGCCGTGCGTTGCGTCCAATATTTTAATTGCCGATGGCGATGTGGCGTGCGTGCTGTGTGTGTGTGCGCTGGCTGCGTGAGTGTGCGTGCGTTGACTCATCCCACCGCCGCGGGCAGGCGTGCTAACCGCAGCCAGACGCGGCTAGGCCGAGCTAGGCGCTACCGTGGGCCGGGCCGCCGCATTGACTGGGTCAGTGAGCCGCCGTGGCGCCTAGCCGCACTACAGTGGCGCCGTCGCCGCCGTTCCCGCGCGGAATGCACTGGCTGGAACGACCCCCCCCCCGTCTCTCTCAATCCTCGACACCGCCGCCGCACTCCTCTGTCATTCTACAGGCTCCACGGCGGGGCGTGGTCACGGAGGCGTGGTTTTAATAGCGCGGATGTGTGGCGCGGAGCCTGCTTATTTTAAGGCGTTTTACCTTATTACTTTTATTTCTTTTCACTTTCTGGTCTTCTGCTCGCGATGCCATTTTCCTTTCGGCCCCAGCAGCTCTGCGTGAAGTAGCCGAGTACCGAACGCACCGGGACTGTCTCTTTTTTTTGCGTTTGAGTGATGCTTTCCTTTTCCCTCCCCCTTCCCCTCCGATAGTTGTTATGCGTGGACGGTCAACTCGCGGGCTGGCTCGTGAGGAACTGCTTGGCAATGCGCAATGCGTCTGGCTGCCCAGTGCAGGCCCAGTGCAGTGCCTGCACGACCATTACACGCTCATTATAGGGGCATAACGGCAGCAAAGTGGCGGCCGGCCCCACTGGGCCCGACCGCAAACAAAGCCGGCGGGGAGGAGGAAACGCAACGGAACTCGAGCAAACAAGCAGCGATTGCCGGGCCAGCAGCCGATACTGAGACGTGGCAAAAGTAAGGGTTTCTTGTTGTTGCTGCTTTTCGCAGTGTGGGTTACGGACGGAGGTCCGCGCGAAACCTGGTCATCTTTTCCCGCGCCGATTGATTCATTACAGCTTCGACCGCGGTGGCCGGCACTGGAACCGGAAAAGCTGCTCCCCCTCCCCCTCCCCGCCCCCTTCCACTCCAAAACATTCCCTTCCTTCCTTCCGACGACGACGACGCGTCAAGCAGGCCTGTCCGTTTTCTATTCCGTTTTCCCGCTCCGGTCCGCGCGTGCCCTACTCTACAAGTCGCGTTGTTGGGTAACACTCGCGATCATGACTCGACTACTTTTGCCATCGGTCGACTTTTGTTTCCGTTTTTTGAGTGAAAAGAGGTGCGAAGTCCGGAACGAAGGTCACGTCAAGTAGCTCGGTGGTCCCCGGCCGCATCCGGAGGGACTCCTGCCGGTTGAGTGGATTATGTCATTTGGCTGCAGTCCAAAGCCGCCGACGTTCATCCCCGCCCCCCTTCCCTCCCTCCTCTCCCCGCGCCGCGCGCCTCTCTCCTCTCGAGTGGAGCCGAAGTTAGCCCGCAGAGCGCGCGGAGCGTCCTGCAGAGCGTCCTGCAGGCCCGGAAGACCGGAAGGAAGGACACGGTGCATCCGGAGGCGGGCTGCGGACTCGGAGTTGCCGCCATTCGCGGTCGTTCGCGGCCATTCGCCATCCGACGCGGTGGAGACCGTGTTTCAGGATAGTTGCCGCGGCTCCGCGGGGTTCAGCCTGTCCCCGAAGTGCGCCGCCCAGAGGTCGAGGTCCCCGTCAAGCCGCGGCCCTTCCCGCCGAACGAAGCGCGGCCCGGCGTCCCCGGCAGCGGCCTTCAGGCGGGACCATGCCTCGTATCGCCACATCACTCGTGACGCGACCGCGCCGCGCCGCGCCAGTGCGGCGTCGGGTGAAAGTCCGGCCGGGTGTTCCCTCTCCTGGACGATGCCGACGACGGCGACGCGGTGGCGGGGCGTGGCGGGCGTCGGCGGTAACACCTGTCTTCTCGCCGCCCGTCGCACGCTGTCGCCCCCCGCGACGCCGTCGTCGGCGTCCTTATCACCGTGCGCCTCGTCAGGTGCCTCTCCCCGACTCGCCGCGCGGGGCCGCGCCGGGCCGCGCCCCTCTCGGGAGTTAGTTCGCCAAGTTCGCCGGCCGGGCCAAGTCGGCGGCACGGCGCGGCACACTCCGGCATCGCACTCCGGGCGTCTCCTCTCGTTTGGCGGCATTAGCACGTCCGCGACGACGCAGGAGTGCCTTATTATCCAATGGGTCCTCCTCGACGTCCCGCAGCACGCGGCGTTGTTACTGTTTGTTGCAAGGAAGTGCACGGCAGGGGAGGGGCAGGCGGAACGCAGCGTGTCCGCAGCGGAGCAGAGCGGTGCAGCACACACGCCGCCATGTACACTGTGCGTGTGGCCACAGCGAAACCACTTCCGAATTGCTCCATATTTTTCCCCTTTTTTACGCGGTCGTTTTCGTTCCCCCTCTTCTTTCGATTGTGTTTGCCGATATTTCCGGCGGGGCGGTCCCTGGTCCCGCCCCGCGTCCTGGCCGCCGTCCTGGCCGCCGGCGTTGCGTCGCCCCGAGATGGCCATCGCCTTGCTAGCCTTTTGTTGATACTTCCCGCCGCGCCGCCGCGCTGCCGGCGGACTTCCCTGCGCACGTTCGGCGGCACGGTCGGCGGCTCTGGCGGGCTGACGGCGTGGTGTGGCGTCTTCCCGTTGGCTGCTCCACCCTGACCATTTTGGCGGCAAGTTCGAAGGCACTGGCTTCGGCTCGCCGCGCTGCGTTTGAATCTCCCGCGCACAGCGAAAAAAGCGCGCCAAACTCACTTTTCTCCTCATCCTCGTGGTCCTCGTCGTCTTGGCGGGGGCGACTCGCTCTTGGCTCATGCTGTCGTTGCAGTCGTTGCGGGAGGAAGGTATCCACTCATAGCACACTGCCGCTCGCACTGCTGCACGCACACCGCACGCGCGCACTCGACCACGTGGCCGGGGAGACACGGAGACTGCTGCCGGCGGCACGCGCTGCTCGGGCTGCTTGATGCGCGTCTGTGTGGAGACTGCCTACGGCCTGCCCGCCTGCCCGGCCCGACGAAGGCCCAGCCTGCCTACCTGTCTGCCCCCACCGCGCCCCGCGGCGGCCCCACCCCGTCCCGCCGCGCCCCGCCGCGCCCGGAGCCCCGAACGGCCAGTCGCCACTGGAAGAGAGAGGGAGATGTGCATAACGTTTGGGGCTGGTGGCGCGGCGTGGCGCGGCGGGGCGTGGTCGGGCGTAACAGCCGCACCGGTCCATCGGCGTGACACTAGAGGACGCAACAGGCGTGCGTGCGTCGCAGTGCGTGAGCGCGCGCGCGTCTGGAATTTGGGGATCAGCCCAGTTCGCACGGCAGCGGCGGCACGTCAGCGACGCCGGCGGCGGTTTCGGATCCACGACACTGCAGGCGAGAGGCAGAGGAAGAGCACCGCAGTACACTGACAAGCGGATCCGCGGAGCGCCTTGTGGCTAGGCACGTCCGCAGCTCACTCCACCTCGACGGGACTGCCTACCCGCCAGGCGGCCTAAACAATAATTAGTCAGACAAACCTTCTTTCGTCTTTCTAATTTTGCCTGGGATTGCCCGGTTCGGCTCGGGGATGAGCCAAGACGCCGTGTGTAACGCCGAGCCGAATCGGGTGGCGCTCTGGATGGGAGATGGACTTGTGGCGCTTCGCCACGCCGCGCCCTGCTCGCGGTGCCCGCCCCTCGCTACGTGAACCGAGCGGGCAGCCTCAAGGCTCCGACCCTCCGACCCGCTGCTTTTGCAAAGGAGTGTCCAATTTGGCTCCCGGGCCTCATGCCCAGCGGCCAGCGGGTCGGAGTGTGTGTCTGCGCGGCCGCGAGTGCCACTACAATGGTCGTCGGACACAGACAGCCGTTGGGCAAACGCCGCGACCTCGGCGATCGACCGCTCGAACGCGTCTCTGGAGGACTTGTTTATCGCTCGGTCATTTTTCACCCGGCGCGCCGCATTGCTGCATTGTCGCTCCTGGAACTCCTGGAGCACGTGCTGCGGGCGGTTGCGCCAGCGCGACCGTGACCGAGGAGCGAACTTTGAATCGCCGTCGTCTGCTTTTGTTCGCGATGAGCTGGCCGCGCACTGCGGTGGTGCTGACGTGAAGCGGGGTAATCCCTCGTGAGAGGCAGGGCTGCCGCCGCGAAGACTGACTCGATCGTTTGGGAAGAAGTGCAAGTGTTGGCGCTGAGTGTGTGCCTCGCGGTCCACGCCGTCTGCTGCACTGCAAAGCGGCCATGCCGCATCGCGTTTCCGCCTGCCTGACTAATCGTGCCTACACTGGCCGCAGCGCCGCGCAGCGCGCACAGTGCGGCAACCGGTGGTTATTTCGGGAAGCTGGGTTTTACTCGTTGCCGCGCTCTCTTTCAATCGGCCAGCCTGCCTGTGCCTGCGCTGGGCTGTCGAGAGCCTGTCAGACTGTCAGCCGCACGCCCCTGCACGCGTGTGTGTTGGAGAGAGAGAGAGAGTTTTCCGCGTCGGGTTTGTTCGGCTCCGGCACGACTAATTTGAATGCACCTTTTGAAAACGAAAAAGGCGTTATTTCGCCACGCGTGGACAACAAGCGCGGTGGCGTGTGGGAACGGGCCTGCCCGCTTTTCTGTTCGAAGTGCAACGCGGAGTGCAGCGCGCCGCGCGCCGCGCGCAACCAGAAGGGCCAAGAAATAAGAAATAGCAAGTTGGCAATCGCGGCGGCGAGGCGGCAAGGCGGCAGCTGCACTGTAGGGGCAAGTGGAGCGCCTTGCCGACGGCATTGCCGTGCCGTGTCCGACACTGAGGCACAGAACACCGCCGCCTGCAACCGGGTCCAGCCCGGATTCTGACGACGTCCGATGACTCGGTGCACCGGCAGACTGATTCCGAGAGTCGTTTTCGTCGCTCTGTCTCTCTCGCACTCATGCGGTGGCCTCCATCGGTGCGAGAAGGACGGAGAGTCCGTCTGCTGGTCCAGTTAGTCCGCGGTGACCGCGTCGCGTCCACCGAGTGCCTACACTGCCGCGTGACGTCATCGCCGTGTTTCCGCTCGCTCATTAGCGGGGAAGTGAAGGGCCGCGTCGCCTCTCTCTCACTCTCGTTTCTTTTCCCTCTCGCCAAGAGAGAGAAAGGTGTCCCGAGCCCGCGCGTCGAACTGAATCTCGAACGATTGGAGCGGAGAGAGGAGCCGAGCCACCCAGAGGTTCTTTCTTCATTTTTTCTGCATTTCTGTGTAATTTTGTTTCCGGTTTTATTTTTGGGTTGTCTGCTACGCGGTTTTACTTTGTCGGGTTTGCCTATCGGATCGGTAGTCCCTTACTGCGGCCGCGGAGCCGCGGTCGGAAGATGAAAAACTACAAACAAAGTGTGAATGTTTCCTTGTTGGGCTCCCAGCTCCCAGAGCGCTGAATGCTCTCGTGTCGTTTTACGATCCTTTAATGTGTGCGCCTCTGCGCGATGTGAGAATTCTCGCCTCGCTGCTGCCATCTGGCCTGGTCCGTGTCTGTCTGGCCGGCGGAGAACCCGATCGTCTGAACGTGCCGCCAGCGCGCGCCAGTGCCATTGTAGTGCCGTGACAGCGACAGTGTAGCATCCGCCGCCGTCCTGGGGGTCTTGTCATGTTGCCTGGAGCGGCGCGAGGTCCCCGTCGACGCGGACGACGCCGAGTTCGTTGCTGCTGCAGCAGTATGAGGCCGTCGGGGGTGGCGCGGCGTCTTTGCATGGCCACGCTTAAAACCCTCTCTCAGTGAAAGCGACCGCCGCCGCCGCCACACCTGAGTGAGAGGGGGGGGGGGGCGGGGGGGCAAAGGGCGGCTCGGACAGCGCGGCCAGGCTTGGCCAGGCCTGGCGCCGCTCCTCAAAGCGTTTAAGGCTCCTTTGTTCCGGGCTCCTCCGTCCGGGCCCAGCATCCCGAACAGCGGCGCCTCCGTCGGTCTGTCTCTCTCTCTCTCTCGCACCGCAAACGGGTGAGGGAGACGGAGCGACGAAGGCGGTGCTCGGAATCGCTCTGCAGGCGCCGCGGCGCCGTCCGGATGGGCTGCACAGGCTGCACAGGTGCAAGCCGAGGTGCCAGATGCCCGGAGTGCCTTCCGGTCTCTCCCTCCCTCTCCTCCCACGTGGAGGGCGTGCGCGTCGGCCGGTGCACTGGCTGTGCGACTACATGGCAGCGGGCCGGGCCGGGCCTGGCCGACAGCAACGCGCGGGAAAGCCGATTAGTCTGCTCGTGTCCGACACGGCACGTCAGCCACTCTGCCCCGTCGGCCACTCCGCCGCGCTTTGGCCGCGCTCGGCGAGGGTCGCGTCAAAACATTAGCGGCCCTTCGTGTCCGCCGACCGATTCCGAGAGCCGCTCTGTCTCTCTCGCTCTCGCGCAGCGTCCCGTGCCGGTGCGAGGGAGACGGAGCGACCCTCGGGACCAGCCCGCTGCGCTGATGCACTCGCGCTGACCGCCCACGCGTTAAGCCCCGCGCCGCGCCGAACGCGGCGCGTGAGTGACGCTCACTCGATTAGTGGAGGATACGGCTGTTGCCCGGCCCGGCATGGCAGACGATGGATTGCGGTCCGGCCTCTCAAGTTCAAGTTGAAGCTGTGGGCGAGCGCCTGCAGTGGCTCGGGGTAGGCAGCCCGCCGCGGAGGCGTGACTGCGTGCTGCCTACCTCCACGGCGCTCGGCCCGGCTCCTTCGGGGCTTTCGTCGGGACGACGGGACCTCGCTCGCTGCCGTGGGCTTGCCGCCATGCGCTTGCCGCCATGCGCTTGCCGCCTCGTGCGGCACGCCTTGACAGCTTTCACTTGCTACACTTGTGAATGCGCTCCAGAGTGATTCCGAACATCGCTGTCTCTCTCGCGCGGCACTCTCGGTGCGTTCAGACTTCCGAGTCACGTGCGGGAGGGACAGAGCGCCGCCCGGGAGGAATCAGCCTGCTGAGTCTACAGTGTAGGGTAATTATTGCCTTTTGTTGAAAAGAGCAACACTGCTGTACACGGCGAGACGAGACGGGAAGCTGCGACGACGCAACGGAAGCGCGTGTGCGGGCAGGGCCGGGCAGGGCCGGGCAGGGCAGGGCAGAAAATGCGTGCCACTCGTCCCCCTTTCCTCTTTCGGGGATGAGTGGGTCGTTTCCCAGTGCATCCCCGTTTACTGCCTTCCTAACGACGACGCATCACCGACGACGCCGTCCTCGGATGCCTCTTGATTGGCCCCGTTTTCAGCAGCGCCGCCGCCTGCTCACCATCCATTTAGAGACAGAAAAAATGCAAAAAAGAAAAAATTGTGGTTATTGCCGAAACGACTCGTTGCGCCGCTTTTGTCGCCGACGTGATCCCATTTCCGGGAGTCGCCTCACTAGACAAAGGGACAATGAACGCCCGCCCCGCGCGCCATGCATGTCGCTGTCGCAGTGTGCGTGCGTGCGTGCGTGTGTGTGTGTGTGTCTGTGTGTGCGCGCGTGACACGCGTGCTATTTATGCCCGCGTCACCTTTGGCGGCCGCGGGTCGTGCATCATCACGCGCACGCCTGTCCGTCCACATTCGTAATATTTTCGCGCGCGTTGTTGTTGTTGTTGCTTTGCCGCGCGAAATGTGTTTCAAAAATGGCGGGAGGACAAAACGGAAAGGGCGGGCGACGCGCGCGCATCATGTTTTTGTTCGTCGTGCGTATCATCTGTTTAGCAGTGGACGGGCCTGGGACGTGCTGGGTCTGCCTGGCGCCGGGCCCGCGTCGTTTGTTTGGTCGCGATGATGATGTCGTTCTCGTGGACCGCCGCGCCGCCAGGCCACCACCGCGCGGGGCACGCCGCGTAGAGCACGCCGTCGTGGCGACTCGTCCATCCCATTACGTCACGCGTGTAACCGGAGCTTTCCGGCGGAACCTGGAACCAGGCTGGCCGGCCGGATACCCGGAAAGAGGCTCACATTCCGGAGTCGTGCGCCTTTGGCCGAGCCTTTGGCCGTGCCTCTGGCTTGGGCTGCATAAAGGACTGCCGCGGCCGCACGTTTCGGGGCACAGT